AAATGTCTTGTATGGAGTAAAAGATTGCTTGTGTACAGGAAGTGACAAGGACACAGTTTCTGGCAGGATTGGCAGGTACTTTCTGTACTTGCTAAATGGCCAAAAAAAGAAAACTAATGCAGCCACCACATTTAAGGAATAAAAGGACATTTCTTTGATCTTGGAATTAGATATCCATTAAGCAATACCCTTCGCTGAAGCCAATAAAATTGTGTTCTATTAAACAAGAGACAACAATTTGGTTGAATTGACTAGATCTGTGTATGGCTAGCCTTACAGAGGGGGCTGTTGGGTGATTTTAGATCCTCAGCTCACCAACTGCAACAGCCTCATCACCGTGAATCCCAACACTTTTAAGTAGAATTCCTGCCTAACACGGACTATCCTTAAAAATGTCCCCTCCAGCCACCTGCTACCTATGCTAACATGTAAACGAAAAAAAAAAGTGCACATTTACCTATTTTTAGCCTAGTCACGTAATCCTGTGTCCGTGAATGGTGGCTGCAGGGGAGAGGAGAGAGCACTTGACAGCGGCTGGAAAATGTGGAAGTGGTGGGTCTCCTGTAGGCCCCTATGACTCGCCCGTCCATTGTCGGCTCACCCTCTTCTTCCGTGCAGCAGCCACTTGCTGACACAGAGGAACCAGATCACTTGACTGGATGGTAAATAGGGAAATATTCACTTTTTTTTTTTGTCTCTGCACACAGATTAGCCAGCATAGGTAGCCGGAGGGTGGAGACCTTTTTTAAGGCTAGTGTCAGAGAGGAATTCTACCTTTAGGGTAGACCCACCATAGCAAACTGAAGGTCCAGTTTTGTTTTTTTTTTTTTTTTTTTTTTATAGCCCTCTGCCCAACCAACACAAAAACAAAACCTGACGCCCATACCCCCAAAGACCCCCCCCCCCCCGCTCCAACACTTCTGGGTGACACTAGTGATAGAGCGCTCAAATCCTGCAAGAATGCACTACAGCCTATTGCAAGAGTGCATTGTCGTGGGATGGTCGCAGCTATGCCGACTAAGAAGTGTTAGGCTGGCCATACATTATACAATTTTCTTGAGGATTTTGCTTTAGATTTACCAAAAACCATATAATATGAGGTCAAACCTAAACAACACTTTCATTTGTATCCAATTAGGCGGGTCCTTGCACTACATAGTTGAAGGTAAATCTATACAATCTTCTGCCCAATTTCCTTTAATGTATGGCCAGCCTTAGAGACCGGGATAAAGTTACATTTTTTTCTTTTTTTATCGGGTGAATTATTTGATTACAAAAAGCTTTTTTTTTTTTTTTTTTATTGGGTGAATGTGATTACAAAACTTTTTTTTTTTTATTGGGTGAATGATTTTGATTACAGAAAGCTTTTGGGTTTTTTTTATTGGGTGAATGATTTGATTACAGAAAGCTTCTTCTTGTTTTTTTTTTTTGTTTGTAATTAAATCATTCACCCAATAAAAACACCAAAAAAAGCTTTCTGTAATTGGGTGAATAATTTAATTACTAACAAAAAAAAAAAGAAACTTTCTGTAATCAAATCATTCACCCAATAAAAAAACAAAAAGGTTTTTGTAATCAAATAATTTGCCCAATAAAAAAAACAGCTTTTTTTATTGGGTGAATGATTTAATTACAGAGAGCTTTTTTTTTAAATTTTTATTTTACATTTTTTTTTATTAAAGCCTTTGCGTTGGGCTGAAAAAAAAAAAAAGTAGAATACCTTTTGCCATGGGAGGTTCCCTTTTCATAAGAGTTCCCTGTACCTATGTGTGTTTCCTCATCCATTCTAATAGACAATACTCCATAGAGCTGCACCACTGACCTAGATCACATCCACCCACCAACAGGCTGACCGGCTCATCATTCATTCTTCTTGTGAGTTTCAGGACAAGATGTTGTCACCCAGGATTCTGTCCATTTTCTTTTTATTTATTCAGCGGGAATTTATTTGTTTTTTTTGTACACCGCCCGTCAATGGGGACAGTATAAAGCAGGGAGGACAGTCTGTCTGCTGTATCTGTAAAGCTTAGCTTTGTCTTAAGGCCGAATCCTCTTATTATTATTGATAATAAAAGAAAAGAGCATTTTTAGAGGCGTCCCTCTTCTCATTCTCTGCTTTCCTTGTCTGTGTTACTGTTGTCTGAGTTTTGTTTTTTCAATTAAACAGTGTAAATGGGTGATTGTTCCTGGTTACCATTTTGGAAAAAGGCTTGTTACCCACCCATAGAGAGACTATTTGTGACCTTTGTGCATTATGAGGGGATTCCCACCATCCCTGTGCTTAGTTCCTGGGTCTGTACACCCGCTGTGCCCATTATGAGCGGTTCCCACCATCCCTGTGCTGAGTTCCCGGGTCTGTACACCCGCTGTGCCCATTATGAGCGGTTCCCACCATCCCTGTGCTTAGTTCCTGAGTCTGTACACCCGCTGTGCCCATTGATGAGGGGTTCCCACAATCCCTGTGCTGAGTTCCCGGGTCTGTACACCTGCTGTGCCCATTATGAGGGGATTCCCACCATCCCTGTGCTTAGTTCCTGGGTCTGTACACCCGCTATGCCCATTATGAGCGGTTCCCACCATCCCTGTGCTGAGTTCCCGGGTCTGTACACCTGCTGTGCCCATTATGAGCGGTTCCCACCATCCCTGTGCTTAGTTCCCGGGTCTGTATACCTGCTGTGCCCATTTATGAGGGGTTCCCACCATCCCTGTGCTGAGTTCCCAGGTCTGCATACATGCTGTACCTCTTATGAGGGGTTTCCATCATTCCTGTGCTGAGTTCCGGGCTTGCACATCTCTTATGAGGGGTTCCCATCATCCCTGCAGTGAGATCCTGGGTTTGTATGCCTGCTGTGCCAATAATGAGTTGTTCCCACCATCCCAGCTGGACCTGGAATGAAAGCCTAGAGGGAATAATATTAGACCCCTCCCCATATTGTATCAGGAGAGATGGACACACTCCCCCAAACCTGCCAGAATTGGGTATTTTGTGTCGCGGTAACAAATCCACAATTGTTAAAAATAAATAATAAGTACCAAAATAATTGAAAGTGAACCTCGTGGTGACATTACAAGTGTGGATGACACATAACAATACACACACTGGATCTTGGTGCTGCTGGTCTCCTGCACCCTCGTTGCAGCCACCTCCTGTCTACGTGGCCTCCAGTTCGGGCTGCATGGCCTTTCCCATAGGACGGGTCAACTGATATATAGTGAACCATCCCTGTGTAATGTGTGCTGAGGTGACCATCACAGGAAGTGCCTGAACAAAGATCATGGTAGGATCACCGGGGATTATCTTCATGGAAGCTGCAGATTTCACACAGGCCAGCCAATGGATTAAGGGTGCAATTTGATTGCAGATACTTCTGAGAATGGGCACTGAAGGATCAGTATACAAAAACTGGGAACTTGCCTCTGTGGGGTTGGCATTCACAGGTTAGGAACCAGCCTCTGAGAGGTCCTGGGTTAGCATACACAGGGACTGGCCACTGCAGGGTTCGCATACGCAGGTTAGGGACTGGCTTATTCAGGGGTTCTGGGTTGGCATTCACAGGTTAGGGACAGGACACTGAGGGGTTCTGGGTTAGCAGTCACAGGTTAGGGACCAGCCTCTGAGAGGTCCTGGGTTAGCATACACAGGGACTAGCCACTGCAGGGTTCGCATACAAAGGTTAGGGACTGGCCTATTCAGGGGTTCTCGGCTAGCGTGCAAAGGTTATGGGCTAGCCTCTGAGAGGATCTGGGTTAGCATACACAAGTTAGGGATTGGCATCTAAGGGGTTCTGAGTATACAAAAGTTAGGGACTGACCACTAAAGGGTTCGAGTTAATATACACAGGTTGGGGGACCAGCCTCTGAGGGGATCTGGGTTAGCATACACAGGTTAGGGACTGGTCACTGTGGGGTTTTGGGTTGTCATACACAGGTTAGGGATCAGCCACTGAGGGGTTCTGGGTTAGTATACACAGGTTAGGGACTGGCCACTGAGGGGTTCTGGGTTAGAACTCACAGGTTAGGGACTGGCCACTGAGGGTTTCTGGCTAGCATATGCAGGTTAGGGACCAGCCACTGAGGGGTTCTGTGTTAGCAAACAGGTTAGGGACTGGCCATTGAGGAGTTCTGACAAGCATACACAGGTAGGGGACTGGCCACTGAGGATTTCTGGCTAGTATACACAGGTTGGGGACTGGTCTCCGAGGGGTTCTGGGTTAGCATACACAGGTTAGGGACTATCCATTGAGGGGGTCTGGGTTAGCGTACACAGGTTGGGGGCTGGCCTACTAAGGAGTTCTGGGTTAGCATACACAGGTTAGGGACTAGCCACTTAGGGGTTCTGGGTTAGCAAGCATAGGTTAGGGACTGGTCTCTGAGGGGTTCTTGGTTGGCATACACAGGTTAGGGACTAGCCACTTAGGGGTTCTGGGTTAGCATACACAGGGACTGGCCACTGAAGGGTTCTGGTTAGTATGTACAGGTTAGAGACTGGCCACTAAGGTTCTGGGTTGGCATGCACAGATTATTATTATTATTATACAGTATTTATATAGCGTCAATGGGTTTGCTCAGCGCTGTACATTATAGTGGGGGACAGTACATGAGACAATACAGTAACAGAACAATACACGAGGGGTTCAAGGGCCCTGCTCTTTCGAGCTTACAATCTAGGAGGGAGGGGGTAGAGGTACAGAAGGAAGTGGCTGTGGGGGATGGAGTGGCAGGAGTGGAGAAGATTGGTTGTTAGATGAGGGTGGGGCAGGCTTCCCTGAAGAGGTGGGTTTTCAGGGTGTGCCTGAAGGTGAGGAGGGTAGGTGACAGTCTGATGGATTGGGGTAGGGAGTTCCAGAGGATGGGAGAAGTCCTGCAGTCGGGCGTGGGAGGAGGAGACCAGGGAGCTGGAGAGTAGGAGGTTCTGTGAGGAGCGAAGGGCACGGGTAGGGTGGTATTTGGGTATCAGGTCAGTGAGGTAGTTTGGGGCGGTATTGTGAATGGCTTTGTAGGTCAGAGTTAGTAAATTGAATGCGTTGGGCAATTGGGAGCCAGTGAAGGGATTGGCAGAGGGGGGAGGCAGATGTGGAGCGGTTGGTGAGGTGGTCGCCGCTGAGTTCAGGATAGACCGGAGTGGGGATATTGTTTGTTTGGGTAGGCCAGTGAGAAGGGAGTTCCAGTAGTCCAGGCGTGAGATGATGAGGGAGTGGACGAGTTGTTTAGTGGTGTCTGGGGTGAGGAATGTACGTATCTTGGAGATGTTGCGGAGGTGGAGCCTGCATGACTTTGATAGTGATTGGACGTGAGGTTGGAAGGAAAGGTTTGAGTCCATGGTGACACCTAGGACTTTGGCGTGTGGGGTGGGATTGATGGTGGCGTTGCTAGTCGTGATGGAGAGGATGGGGGGGGGGCGCGGGCTGGAGGGAAAACTAGGAGCTTGGTTTTGGAAAGGTTTACCTTGAGGAAATGGAGCGACATCCAGTCTGATATGTCATTCAGGAGGTGGGCGATGCGGGCGGAGAGTGAGGGGGTGAGGTGAGGGGTGGAGAGGTAAATTTGTGTGTCGTCGGCATAGAGGTGATAGTTGAAGCCGTGGGAGTGTATCAGTTGGCCGAGGGAGGAGGTGTAGATGGAGAAGAGGAGGGATCTGAGGATAGAGCCTTGGGGGACCCCAACAGAGGGGGAGGTGGCAGCATCATAGGTAATGGTGAAGGAGCGTTGGGATAGGTAAGAGGAGAACCAGGAGAGAGCAGAGACCCTGATGCCAAAGGAGTGTAGTTTAGTAAGGAGGAGGGGGTGGTCGACTGTGTCGAAGGCCGCGGAGAGGTCGAGGAGCAGGAGGACTGAGTAGTGGCCATTAGCTTTGGCGGTTAGTGGGCCGGTAGTGATTTTAAGTAGGGCGGTTTCGGTGGAGTGTAGGGGATGGAAGCCAGACTGTAGTGGATCAAGGAGGTTGTAGGAGATTAGGGACTGTCCCACTGAGTGGCTAATTAGTTATTGAGAAATGGCTTCTGAGTTCAATATTATCTTTGATTGTAGATACAGAGAAGTTTTTTTTTTGTTTTTTTTTGGGGGGGGGGGGATCTATGGCTCATTCTAGAGAGTAGCCATCAGTTCCCGTGGTTGCGTAGAAGTAGACCCCCCTACTTCTGGTGGAGTTGGAGTCTAAAGGATAGCCTGTGTTCCACCAGGGACCCCTCTCATGGGAGTTTGGACTTGGGTGAGCTGGAAGCAGCTTGCAGCTAAAGGTTCTCCTGGACCTAGAGGTGGATCAGTGCTTGGCGAGCCAAGCAATGGAGCAGGCACCAGGTAGTGCTGGTGGTAGGACTAGCGGCAGAGCTGGCCATGCACTGTTGACTGCACTGTAGCAGAACAGACTAGGACTGGTAGGTGGCGGAGTAACTGGTAGATGGCCTGACTGGCAGACAAGGAGCTCACAGGACTGGTGTTGGACCAAATGCTGAAGAAGGGATGGGTTTTCCCACTCTAATTTTAAAATGTTTGTGACGGGAAGTGAGAGGAAGTCACTCCAAAGTGGAAAGGAGAGACTTCCATATAGCCCAGCCATCTAGACCAGCCTGTCTCCAACCTTTTCAACACAGAGGAATCCCTGAAATAACTTTCTGTTCTCGGGGAACCCCTGCAAAAAATGTCTAAACCTCCTGATACAATAGAGTGATGGTCATTGAGAAGAATGATCCTACCACTTGTGTCATTGGGAAGAATTAACCCCTTACCGAGAGCTAAAAAGATCAATGGTATCAGTAGAAATGTATCTGGGTGTCAGAAACTTCTCATTGCTCAAGGAACCCTGAGCAACCTCTGGAAGAACCTGAGCAACCTCTGGAGGAACCCCGAGCAATCTCTGGAGGAACCCCGAGCAATCTCTGGAGGAACCCCGAGCAACTTCTGGAGGAACCCCGGTCTAACCACTCTGCCATAAAGCCAGATCGGTGGAGGACTGCAGGGGTGGTCGTCCTTCTGGAACTTTTTCCCATCTAGACGCAGGATCCCTGGAGCCCAGTCGGGTTCTTGGTCACCTCTCTTACTTAGGCCCTTCTCCCCCCGATCGCTCAGTTTGGCCGGGGATGACCAGCTCTTTGAGAAGTCCTGGTTGTGCCAAACTTCTTCCATTTGAGAATTATGAAGGCCGCTGTGCTCTGGGGAACCTTCAGGACAGCAGAAATTTTTTGTAGCTTTCTCCAGATCTGTGCCTTGCAATAATCATGTCTCTGAGCTTGGCAGGCCGTTCCTTTGACTTCATGGCATCTGCTCTGATACAGCATGCATTGTCAGCTGTGAGGCCTTTTATAGAGAGGTGTGCCTTTCCAAATCATGTCCAATCGATGTAATTTACCCCAGGTGGGCTCCAACCAAGGTGTAGAAACATCTCAGCAATGATCAAGAGAAATGAGAGGCACCTGAGCTAAATATCAAGAGTCATTGCAAATGGCCGGCCATACATGGGTCGATTTTTGAACGATTTTCGTTCGCAAATCAGACCTAAGAATAATCGGCCGATTTTCATTCTGTTGGTGGGGCAATGGCATCAGATGATTTTTGTGGTTTCTCCCCATTTCCTCTATTGGGCATGCTGGAAAATTCGTGAAAAACGACTGATTTTCAAAATCTTTGGTGGCACCATCGGATTATAGAACTATGTTTTCGATCAGAAAATCGTTCAGAATTTGACCCATGTATTGCCTGCTTTAGCCCTGGTTCACACTAATGCGGCGCCGGAAACACAGTGAATCCTGTGCATCTCTCATGCCGCATTGTAATTGCACGGCATCCATGTGATCTGGTACGGGTGTCAATGTTTAATTTTTATTATACAGGATTTATATAACAGTTTGCTCAGCGCTTTACAATATAACGGGAGACAATACAGCAACAATACAGTTCAATACAAGAGGGAAAGGAGGGCCCTGATCCTGGGAGCTTACAATCTAAGAGGGAGGGGCTGGTGGTACAAAAGGTAGTAACTGTGGGGGATGGACTGGTAGGAAGAGTAGAAGATTCCATTATTAGCTGAGGACAGGATAGGCTTCCCTGAAGAGATAGGTTTTCAGAGATCGCCTAAAAGTGAGCAGAGTAGGCGATAGTCTGATAAATTGGGGTAGAGTTCCAGAGGATGGGGGAAGCTCTGGAGAAGTCCTGGAGACAAGCATGGGAGGAGGAGACAAGGGAGCTAGAGAGCAGGAGGTCATGGGAGGAGCGGAGACTACGGTTTGGGTGATATTTGGAGACAAGATTGGTGATGTAATTTGGGGCAGAGTTATAAATGGCTTTATATGTTATTGTTAATGTTTTGAATTTTATCCGTTGGGCAATGGGAAGCCAGTGGAGGGATTGGCAGAGAGGGATGGAGGACACTGAGTGGAGGCCATTGGAGGGCTTGGCAGAGAGGGGTGGAGGCCAGTGGAGGGATTGGCAGAGAGGGATGGAGGACACTGAGTGGAGGCCAGTGGAGGGATTGGCAGAGAGGGATGGAGGACACGGAGTGGAGGCCAATGGAGGGATTGGCAGAGAGGGGTGGAGGACACTGAGTGGAGGCCAGAGGAGGGATTGGCAGAAAGGGATGGAGGACACCAAGTGGAGGCCAGTGGAGGGATTGGCAGAGAGGGGTGGAGGACACTGAGTGGAGGCCAGTGGAGGGATTGGCAGAGAGGGATGGATTGGCAGAGAGGGATGGAGGACACGGAGTGGAGGCCAATGGAGGGATTGGCAGAGAGGGATGGAGGACACTGAGTGGAGGCCAGTGGATGGATTGGCAGAGAGGGATGGAGGACACGGAGTGGAGGCCAATGGAGGGATTGGCAGAGAGGGGTGGAGGACACTGAGTGGAGGCCAGAGGAGGAATTGGCAGAAAGGGATGGAGGACACTAAGTGGAGGCCAGTGGAGGGATTGGCAGAGAGGGGTGGAGGACATCAAATGGAGGCCAGTGAAGGGATTGGCAGAGAGGGATGGAGGACACTGAGTGGAGGCCAGTGGAGGGATTGGCAGAGAGGGATGGAGGACACTGAGTGGAGGCCAGTGGAGGGATTGGTAGAGAGGGATGGAGGACACTGAGTGGAGGCCAGTGGAGGGATTGGCAGAGAGGGATGGAGGACACTGAGTGGAGGCTGTTTTTTTTTTTCTTCCATTTTTAAACTTGTTGCTGGGCAGAATAAAATGCAAAACGCATAAAACATGCATCAAAAACGCACTGCATGCTTTTCTGCATCATCACTATTGCAATCTATAGAACCAAAAACGCAACGTTTTGCATTTAAAAAAAGTCCCTGACCCTTTCCAAAAACCGCAGTGGGTGAAAACGCGAAGATGTGAACGTGTCCAATAGGAAATCATGTTAAACTCCTTTGCGCCGGCGCCTCCCGGCCCTTTAAGGGTTTCAGAAGCCAGGAGGCGGGGCAGGGTTTAGAGTCATGTGACCGCTGTGACGCGCTGTCACATGATAGGGAAAGGTCCTGATCGAAAGAGGAGATCGGGACCTTTCCGTGATCTCCGGACATGTGTGCTGAGAGCGTGCAGGGCGCACGCTCTCCACATATGTTCTTTTTTAATAGAACACAAATGTGAGGCCGCTCGGCGTCTAGGCCCAGATTCCGGGAGGACGCACATTTGCGTTTGGCCGGCGTGAAGAGGTTAAATGGATGGCTGTGCGTTTCTGGAAAACACATAGGTGTGAACCTAGACACTCTACTAATGACACTGCCTGGGGGGGAGGGGGTTAACTGTGTGCATAACAAGTGTAATATTTGCTGCTTTTTCTCACAGATCTGGCTGTCTTTTCTCTCTGCTTTTCAGGGAGAAGAAACGGCCAGATCACTGATCTTTGTAGAGTTGTGTGTGTTTGTAAACAAGGAACTCTGTGCTGTGATTGGCCACAGCCGATTTCAGCCAAAATCATTGGCTGAAACCTGCTGACAAACTTGTGCCGTGTCCAATCGCAGGCCAGCTGGCGGCACAAGGCTGAAACATACCCGAACTTCGCCTGGCCTTGCTGTGCCGCTCGCTTGCCGTAAGTGCGCCGTGGGCAAGCAGTTAAAAAAGTGGAAGAAAATTACATCCTTTTAAATCCTATAGAACTCACCACACCGGCCAGTTGTGTTTCAGTTGTATTTTTAAAAGTCCCGCTTGCTGCGTTTGCAAACGCACCAACTCCACGTTGTAATGAATGGAAAATCTAGCAACAACTAGGGGTGCACCAATATATCGGCTCTGAAAATTATCAGCTGAAACTAGGGTTATCAGCGTTTTGCCGATAGGGGGAAAAAAAAAAAGGTGACGATAGACTTCAATGAAAAATTGCTTCCCATAAACTTCTAAGCAAAGTGGCGTCTCATAGACTTTAAAGCAGCCGCGTCCCATAGACTTCAATGCAAAAACACCCCCTAGTGACTTCAATGCAAAAGCACATCCCATACACTTCAATGCAAAAACGCCCCAACCCCCACTGACTTCAATGCAAAATTGTGTCCCACTAACTTCATTACAAAATCGCGTCCCATTGACTATGATGCAATGACTATGCCAGCCACATTAATTAACCACTTGACAACCACGCTATAACCGACTGACGGCTACAGCGTGGTTGTCCAGTTTGTGGGAGGGCGTCATAGGATGTCCTTCCAGAACGCACCCAGCAATCTCCGTAATCAGCTGATCACGTGATGTGGTAAATGGCCAATCACAGCAGCTTTTTACCACGTGATCAGCTGTGTCCAATGACACACTGATCACCAGATAAATACAGTTGCCGGTTATCGGCTGCATTGTCCTCACACTGTCACAGCGAGAGGAAAGGACTGCTGATAACCGACAACTGTTAGTGAACAGATCGGCACCGATTATCAATGCCCAGCACTGCCACCCACCAGTGCCGCCCACCTGTGCCCTGCAGTACTACCCACCAGTGCACCCATCTGTGCTGCCCTCCTGTGCCCTGCAGTGACGCCCACCAGTGCACCCACCTGTGCCCTGCAGTACCACCCACCTGTGCCCTGCAGTGCTACCCACCTGTGCCACCCACCTGTTCCCTGCAGTACCACCCACCTGTGCCCAGCAGTACCACCCACCTGTGCCCTGCAGTGCCATTCACCTGTGCCCAGCAGTACCACCCACCTGTGCCCAGCAGTGCCACCCACCTGTGCCCTGCAGTACCATCCACTTGTGCCCTGCAGTGACGCCCACCAGTGCACCTATCAGTGCCACCCACTAGTGCCACCCACCTGTGCTCAGCTGTGCCACCCATCAGTGCTGCCTATCCATCCCATCTATCCATGCCCATCAGTGCTGCCTATCCGTGTCACCTCATCAGTGCCCTTCAGTGCCGCCTCATCAGCGCACATCAATGAAGAAGAAAAATTACCTGTTTGTAAAATGTTATAATAGAAACAAATGAAAAACTTTTTTGTTTTCAAATTTTTTGCTTTTTTTGTTTATAGTGCAAAAAAAATAAAAAACCCCAGCGGGGATGAAATACCACCAACAGAAAGCTCTATGTGTGTGAAAAAATGATAAAAATGTCATATGGGTACAGTGTTGCATGACCGTGCAATTGTCATTCAAAGTGTGACAGCGCTGAAAGCTGGAAATCGGCCTGGGCAGGAAGGGGGTACAAGTTCCGGTAGGTGAGGGGCTGAATAAAATAAATAAATAAATAAGTGTCTGTTCCCCGCCAAGCACAGGCCGGATTTTTGATTTCAGCAGCAGAATTTTCACCTCGGGGCCCCACCAGCAAACATGCATCAAACACTCCGCCTGCGCCATTTTGGTGGTTTTTATTGAATCGCTTGTACATTGTTCACAGGTGCAGCAACCAGAGAAGGTGGAGAATTGCGCATGCGTGGTACCGCATCTTTGTGACGTAGCGCTGTCAGAGCAACCTTACCTTTATGAAGCCTCACCACTCATTCCACAACTAACACAGGAAGAAGGTCGTCTATACACACTATATAGCCAAAAGGATTGGCCCAGCCCTCCAGATCATGTGATTCAGGTGTTCCAATCTCCTCCATGGCCACAGGTGTATACAATCAGCCCCTAGGCATGCAGACTGCTTCTACAAACATTGGTGAAAGAATGGGTCGCTCTCAGGAGCTCAGTGACTCCAAGCGTGGTCCTGTGATAGGTTGTCACCTGTGCAATAAGTCCATCCGTGACATTTCCTGGCTACTAAATATTCCACGCTCAACTGTTAGTGGGATTATAACAAAGTGGAAGCAACTGGGAACAACAGCAACTCAGCCACCAAGTGGTAGGCCACGTCACATGACAGAGCGGGGTCAGCACATGCTGAAGAGTACAGTGCGCAGAAGTCACCAACTGTCGAGTCAATAGCTAAAGATCTCCAAACTTGGTGTGGCCTACAGATTAGCACAACAACAGTGCGTAGAGATCTTCATGGAATGGGTTTCCATGGCCGAGCAGCTGCATCCAAGCCTTACATCACCAAGTGCAATGCAAAGCGTCGGATTCCGTGGTGTAAAGCACGCCGCCACTATACTCTAGAGAGTTTGGGGTGGAGGAACTTGACTGGCCTGCACAGAGTCCTGACCTCAACCCCATAGAACACCTTTGGGATGAATTAGAGCGGAGACTGTGATCCAGGCCTCCTCCCCCGACATCAGTGCCTGACCTCACAAATACACTTCTGGAAGAATGGTCCAACCTTCCCATAGACACCCTCCTAAACCTTGTGGACGGCCTTCCCAGTAGAGGTGAAGATGTTGAGCTGGCCAATGACAGGCCAGTGTATACACACCAGGAACTGGCCAATGAAAGACCAATGTACACACACCAGGAACTGGCCAATGACAGGCCAATGTACACACACCAGGAACTGGCCAATGACAGGCCAATAGACACACACCAGGAACTGGGCCAATAGACACACACCTGGAACTGTCCAATGACAGGCCAATGTACACACACCAGGAACTGGCCAATGACAGGCCAATGTACACACACCAGGAACTGGCCAATGACAGGCCAATAGACACACACCAGGAACTGGGCCAATGTACACACACCAGGAACTGTCCAATGACAGGCCAATGTACACACACCAGGAACTGGCCAATGACAGGCCAATAGACACACACCTGGAACTGTCCAATGACAGGCCAATGTACACACACCAGGAACTGGCCAATGACAGGCCAATAGACACACACCTGGAACTGTCCAATGACAGGCCAATGTACACAAACCAGGAACTGGCCAATGACGGGTCAATGTACACACACCAGGAACTGGCCAATGAAGAGCCAGAAGAATCCTACGTACTAGGGGCGGGGTCTGCCGTCTTAGGCGGGCTGTGTGTCCCTCAGCTACAGGCGGGGTCTCCACTAGTTAGGGGCGTAGTCTTCCCCGTTCTCCTCCTCGGTTGCCCATTGGAAGAAAATGTGTTACAAGAATGGCCACTAGAGGCAGCTGTATCCCTCTCCCAAAGGGGCCGTAGGCGGAAGCCATTTTGTTGATGCCTGCTCTTCCCGCAGTAAAGGATGCTCTACGAGAAAATGGCTGCCAGCAGACAATCTATTACCGCACTTCAGACGTTAGCCTAGCACAGCTGTTCGGCTGGGTTTTTTTTAGTACAGACCCCTGAGCGGAGACAGAGAGGTATGTTTACATTTCTGTGTGAGGGGGAGGGGGGTCAGGACAGCCTGCCTGAGAATACCCAGCACTGACATGTACAGTCTACAGCCAGAACACCATGGGGAGGGGGGAGGAATTAGAGTGTAAGCTCCTCTGGTGCAGACACTGATATGGCTGGCTTTGTACATCTCTACAGTATATGTCAGAGCGCTATAAACATAATAATATGGGACATTAGAGTGTAAGCTCCTCTGGTGCAGAGACTGGCTCATTATTTGTACATTGCTACAGTATATGTCAGAGCTCTATCACTGTATAATGGGGGGGGGGGGGGGGGGGGGCATTAGAGTGTAAGCTCCTGTGGTACAGACTGGTCTGGCTGTTTATTTGTACATCTCTTCAGTATATGTTAGAGCTGTTTACATTAATTATAATAGTATGTGACATTAGAGTGTAAGCTCCTCTGCTACAGACTGATCCGGGCCTTTATTTGTACATCTCTACAGTATATGTCAGAGCTCTATAAACACATTATATAATAATATGGGATTAGAGTGTAAGCTGATCTGCTGAGGAGACTTTGTACATCACTACAGTATATGTCAGAGCTCTATAAATGTGTAACAAGGGGGACATTAGAGTGTAAGCTCCTGTGGTACAGACTGATCTGGCTCATTATTTGTACATCTCTACAGTATATGTCAGAGCTGTTTAAATTTATTATAATAGTATGTGACATTAGAGTGTAAGCTCCTCTGCTACAGACTGATCCGGGCCTTTATTTGTACATCTCTACAGTATATGTCAGAGCTCTATAAACACATTATATAATAATATGGGATTAGAGTGTAAGCTGATCTGCTGAGGAGACTTTGTACATCACTACAGTATATATCAGAGCTCTATAAATGTGTAACAAGGGGGACATTAGAGTGTAAGCTCCTCTGGTGCAGACTGATCTGGCTCTTTATTTGTACATCTCTACAGTATATGTCAGAGCTCTATAAATATACAAGGTGGGGGGCATTAGAGTGTAAGCTCCTCTGCTGCAGAGACTGATGTGGCTGGCTTTGTACATCACTACAGTATATGTCAGAGCTCTATAAATGTATAATGGTGGTGGTGGGGACATTAGAGTGTAAGCTCCTCTGCTACAGACTGATCTGACTCTTTATTTGTACATCTCTACAGTATATGTCAGAGCTCTATAAACACATTATATATAATAATAATATGGGATTAGAGTGTAAGCTCCTGTGGTGCACAGACTGATCTGACTCTTTATTTGTACATCTCTACAGTATATGTCAGAGCTCTATAAACACATTATATAATAATATGGGATTAGAGTGTAAGCTGATCTGCTGAGGAGACTTTGTACATCACTACAGTATATGTCAGAGCTCTATAAATGTGTAATGGTGGTGGTGGGGACATTAGAGTGTAAGCTCCTGTGGTGCACAGACTGATCTGGTTCTTTATTTGTACATCACTACAGTATATGTCAGAGCTCTATGAATGTGTAATGGTGGTGGGGACATTAGAGTGTAAGCTCCTCTGCCACAGAATGATCTGGCTCTTTATTTGTACATCTCTACAGTATATGTCAGAGCTCTATGAATGTATAATGGTGGTGGGGACATTAGAGTGTAAGCTCCTGTGGTGCACAGACTGATGTCATGTTCTCCAGGTCCCCCATGGCGGAGGCGGCAGTACCAGACACGTCCACACTGTTCCAGCAGGAGCCCGGCGGGGTGACATACCGGATCCCGGCCCTCCTCTACATCGAGCAGCCTTCCGTGTTTTTGGCGTTTGCGGAGAAGCGGGAGAAGCGGTCGTCCCCCCGGGATCAGGACGCCCTGTACCTGGTGATGAGGAGAGGAGTGGAGGTTCATGGGACTCTGCAGGTACGCTCCATTGTCTGGACTGGGGTCAGGAATATAGAAGACGGTACAGAGACTCCCTGTGTGATACATATAAGGGGGGGGGGGGGGCTCAGGTCAGGGCATTCCCCACCCGGGGACCCCTGTGACATCATTGACTGGTCACATGACACTGACCTAATATGGCCATATGAGGACAATTATGTCACAGTGCACCTGGGGGCTGGTAATGCTCTGGCCACAGTTCATTGGGCGGGAGTGACTGCCCCCTCCCAGGATTGGTCCAAACCTGGACTCATTCATTACAAATAGAGTTTTTAGGCAGCTGTTTGTCCCTCACCTTTCCCATGCACTCAGCAGTCTTATGAGCTCTGCCCGGGTCATCTCTGTAGACTACAGAACACCTGCCCCCTACATTATAGAAATGAGGGGGGGGGGGGGGTTCTGTAGTTTTAATACATTTCCTGTCCTAGGGTGACAACACTCATTTGCTGTACCAGATCTATGGAGGAGTAACGTTGTCACCCATGGACAGGAAGGTCTACCGAACACCTATTTCCTACATTATGGAGATGAGGGAGATGTTCTGTAGTCTTGATACTTTTCTTGTCATAGAGTGACAGCACTATGTACCAGATCAATAGCGCAGCAGGATTTTCAACCATAGACAGAAAATTCTACAAAACTCCTACAATATGGGGGGGAGGGGGGAAGGAGGTGTTCTTTAGTCGTAACACACTTCCAGTCTCTAGCATACCTACCCCCTACATTATGGAGGTGGGGGGGTGTTCTGTAGTCTTGATACCTCTCCTGTCATAGGATGACCATGCTGATTTCCTGTACTAGATCTGTGGAGGAGCAGTGTTGTCACCTGAGGACAGGAAGGTCTACAGGACATCTTTCTCCTACATTATGGATATGAGGGAGGTGTTCTGTAGTCTTAACACATTTCCTGTCCTAGGGTGACAACACTCATTTGCTGTACCGATCTATGGGGGAGCAGCATTATCAACTGAGGACAGAAAAGTCTACAGAACTCCTACATTATGAAGATGAGGAGGGGATGGTGTTCTGTAGTCTTAACACACTTCCAGTCTACAGCACACCTACCCCATACAGTATGGAGATGGGGAGCGGTGTTCTGTAGTCTTAACACATTTCCTGTCATAGGGTGACAACTCTTATTTACTGTACTAGATCTGTGAAGGAGCAGTGTTGTCACCTAAGGACAGTGTTTTAGGTCTACAGAACACCCACCCCCTATATTAAGGAGATGAAGAAGAAGAAGGTGTTCTGTAGTGACACATTTCCAGTCATAGGGTGATGATGTTCAATCGCTGTCCTAGATCTCTAATGGAGGAACATTATCACTTAAGGACAGGAAGGTCTACAGAACACTTACCCCCTACATTTTGGAGATGAGGGAGGTGTTCTGTAGTCTTAACACATTTCCTGCCCTAGGGTTGTCACTCTGCCACACTTATTCACTGTACAAGATCTCTGGACGAGCAGCGCTGTCATCCGAGTGTTTTAGGTCTGGGGGGGAGGTGTTTTGTAGTTTTAAAGCGAAACTCCACACAAAAAAGGAAATTTTGCTTGTCTTTCCCCCTTCACTGCCACATTTGGCACTTTTTGGGGGGAGTGGGTTTGACAGCCCCTCCCACTACCAAGTCAGATCTGACTCGGAAGGTGCTGACTTGGGGGAGGCCGGAGCTCCGCTTTACCACACCTCCTGTCCTAGGATGACAGTGCTGTTCCTCCAAAGATACAGTCCTATGAGTGTTGTCATCCTGGGACAGGAAGTGTGTTACTGGCAGGATCACCAGGAGAGAAAAGCCTGAAAAACAAAATCGAATGCAGCTGCCACATCTAAGGAGTTTAGATGCACTCCCATTGGTATTGTCTATCTGCAGATTTTCTGGGTTCATTGATTGGTAATGCTGTGCCGCGCTCTGCCTCTGTTCTGAGGTTTAGATACACTTTTTAAATAAGGGATTTCCATTTTTGAGGTGACAACGCTGCCTCTGCAGCACTGAAATACCCAGACGCGTTGTCACCACTGACTTGTCTCTCCCATGCTAGAATTCGGAACATCTACCCCTCCTCTTAACAAAAGGTGTTCTGTAGTCCAGCAGGAGAGAACTGGGCTGGGATGACAACACTGCTTGGGATTTCAGCGCTGCAGGGGCAGCGTTGTCAGTTTGCTAGAGGAAGTTCAGAGCACCTTGGATTTCTGGCAGATCAATGCATCACCAGACAGCACTGCCAGCAGCACAGAGGCAAAGCTGCCAAAGACTTCCGATCGGTAGCGGACAGGAGTGGCTTCCAATCATGTGACAGCCAATCACAGTGGTCACATGATTGCCAACTTTTTTACAGAACTTTTTAAAGGGATGCTATGGCAGGTGGGAAGCAGTTAAGCCTCGTATATTTTGCCTTCCCTGGTTCCTTCCTCTCCCCTCATCAACATTTTTAATTTTTTTTTTTAAATCAATCCTTTCTATTGTCACTACATGCTTTATTTTAGACACAGTGATGTCATCACTGGGTCTCTGTGCTTCTTTCTGCAATGCAGGCAGATCATGGCTGCTGACAAGGAGTGGCAGCATGCTGTATATAGCTTCCTAAAAACATCTTAGCACCCTGCCTCAGCATTCCTTTAAAGAGTCTTCAGCTCTGGTGCAAGCAGTGGGCTGGCTCTGGGGGGGTATTAGTATGGAGAAGTGGGTGGGGTTCCTAGGTAACATGCAGGTAACACCCACATGTGATGCAGAGGTTCCATGATTTAAAGGGGAACTTCATCTTAGCTCCCCTTCCTTTTTTTCAACTATACCTCTGTTCACCTGATGGTATTGGAGGCACAGTATGGATACCCACCCCGCCACTGGATCCAACGTTGTCCCGCTGACAACCTTCTGTGACCCGACACAGCTCAGTCCGCCGCCGCCATCTTACATCAAGAGGCCCGCCGGTTCTTCCGGGTTCAGCCAGCGGGGCCTCGCAATGGCCCCCTCCTACTAGCCAAATGGAAGACTCGAGGGCTCCTGGGATATGTGATTTGCATATCCCAGGTGGCCCAGCGAGGCTATGCACATGATTCGTCTAGGCCAGGGGTCGGCAACCTGAGAGCCGCAGGACTACAAGTTCCATCATGCCTCTGCAAGTCATACAGTGGGGCAAAAAAGTATTTAGTCAGCCACCAATTGTGCAAGTTCTCCCACTTAAAAAGATGAGAGCGGCCTGTAATTGGCATCATAGGTAGACCTCAACTATGAGAGACAAAATGAGAAAACAAATCCAGACAATCACATTGGCTGATTTGGAAAGAATTTATTTGCAAATTATGGTGGAAAATAAGTATTTGGTCAATATGAAAAGTTCATGTCAATACTTTGTTATATATCCTTTGTTGGCAATGACAGAGGTCAGACGTTTCCTGTAAGTCTTCACAAGGTTGGCACACACTGTTGCTGGTATGTTGGCCCATTCCTCCATGCAGATCTCCTCTAGAGCAGTGATGTTTTGGGGCTGTCACTGGGCAAAACGGACTTTCAACTCCCTCCAAAGGTTTTCTATGGGGTTGAGATCTGGAGACTGGCTAGGCCACTCCAGGACCTTGAAATGCTTCTTACGAAGCCACTCCATTTCCCGGGCGGTATGTTTGGGATCATTGTCATGTTGGAAGACCCAGCCACGTTTCATCTTCAATGCCCTTGCTGATGGAAGGAGGTTTGCACTCAAAATCTCACAATACATGGCCCCATTCATTCTGTCCTGTACTTGGATCAGTCGTCCTGGTCCCTTTGTGGAGAAACAGCCCCAAAGCATGATGTTGCCACCCCCATGCTTCACAGTAGGTATGGTGTTCTTTGGATGCAACTCAGCATTCTCTCTCCTCCAAACACGACGAGTTGTGTTTCTACCAAACAGTTCTATTTTGGTTTCATCTGACCATATGACATTCTCCCAATCCTCTTCTGGATCATCCAAATGTTCTCTAGCAAACTTCAGACGGGCCCGGACATGTACTGGCTTAAGCAGGGGGGACACGTCTGGCACTGCAGGATCTGAGTCCCTGGCGGCGTAGTGTGTTACTGTAGGTAGCCTTTGTTATGTTGGTCCCAGCTCTCTGCAGGTCATTCACTAGGTCCCCCCGTGTGGTCCTGGGATTTTTGCTCACCGTTCTTGTGATCATTTTGACCCCACGGGGTGAGATCTTGCGTGGAGCCCCAGATCCAGGGAGATTATCAGTGGTCTTGTATGTCTTCCATTTTCTAATTATTGCTCCCACAGTTGATTTGTTCACACCAAGCTGCTTGCCTATTGCAGATTCAGTCTTCCCAGCCTGGTGCAGGTCTACAATTTTGTTTCTGGTGTCCTTCGACAGCTCTTTGGTCTTCACCATAGTGGAGTTTGGAGTGTGACTGTTTGAGGTTGTGGACAGGTGTCTTTTATACTGATAACAAGTTCAAACAGGTGCCATTGATACAGGTAATGAGTGCAGGACAGAGGAGCCTCTTAAAGAAGAAGGTCCAGGTCTGTGAGAGCCACAAATCTTGCTTGTTTGTAGGTGACCAAATACTTATCTTCCACCATAATTTGCAAATAAATTCTTTCCAAATCAGCCAATGTGTCTCTGTCTGGATTTGTTTTCTCACTTTGTCTCTCATAGTTGAGGTTGTTTTGTCATTTTGTCTCTCATAGTTGAGGTCTACCTATGATGCCAATTACAGGCCTCTCTTTTTAAGTGGGAGAACTTGCACAATTGGTGGCTGACTAAATACTTTTTTGCCCCACTGTAGCTGGAACTGTCAGTTTTGTAATGTTGCAATGCCTCATGGGAAATGTAGTTCCACAACAGCTAGAGAGCCACAGGTTGCCTACCCCTGGCCTAGACGAATGACATACACAGAGGGGCGGGGCCTTGCTTTTATAAAGGAAAAAAAAAAAACACTGCCCAAATTGTGCTGAGTTGGGAAGGAGGGGTCGAGAAGGGGGAACATTACGTGGAGGGTGACGTACCACTTTAAAGTATTCCAGTGAATGGAAAGGCCTGGGACAAGGAAAGTGATAGATGTTGCTAGACGTTCTCCAGCCAGGTAATGAGGAAGCCTTTATCTGACTTGCTTCAGCTTCCAATGCACATTGTGAGAAGCTCACAGTGTGCAGTGATATCAGAGGAGGCCATTTCAGCCCAGGAGAGGAGCCGGTAAGGCTGAGAGGAAGGCTGGAGGTCAGTGGGTTTGCGTGTTGGGTTGTGTATTTTGTAAATGGTTCTTGTTTTGTTCCTGCAGTGGGAAAAAACACGATTGCCGTGAGACATGCCAAGCTAGTGGATCACCGTACCATGAACCCGTGCCCCGTCTACGACAAAGACACCAAGACCATCTTCCTTTTCTTTCATCTGCGTCCGGACAAACTGCTCAGAAATGGGGCAGATCATCACCGGCAAAAACGCTGCCCGAATCTGCTACGTCACCAGCACCGATTACGGCAAATCCTGGAGCTCCCTGCTGGACGTGACGGAGGACGTTCTGGCTGAGGAACTGAAGAACTGTGCCACCGTGGCTGTTGGGCCCGGCCATGGGATCCAGTCCCCATCAGGAAGGCTGATAGTGCCGGCCTACCTCTACTACATCCACTCCCGTGTCTGCGGTCTACCCATTCCATGGAAAACCAAGCCTCACTCCTTCGTCTTCTACAGCGATGACCATGGGAAGAGCTGGCACAAGGGCAGCACCATATGGCAACAGCAGACCGGAGAGTGCGAGGTGGCAGATGTGGCCTGCAGCAACGGTCCCGACATCTTGTATTGCAGCGCCCGGACAAACAAGCACTTCCGGGTAGAGGCTACCAGCAGTGACCAGGCCATGGGGTTCAATAGTTCTCATTTCTGCAGGAACCTCTGTGAGCCACCCCATGGGTGCCAGGGCAGTGTGGTGAGCTACCAACCCTTGGAGATCCACCAAGAAGCAGATGATCTGGATGGCAAAGGCCAGACTTGCTTTGAGAAACGTGCTCTGTCTTGGCTCCTCTACTCCCATCCAACAAGCAACCATAAAAGGGTTGACTTGGGGATCTACCTAAACAAGTCCCCACTGCTACCCACTGGCTGGAACCAACCATGGATCATTAACCAAGGCCCCAGCGGATACTCCGACCTAGCTGTCTGCCAGGGCACGCATGCGTTTGGATGCCTCTTTGAGTGCGGCGTAGACGCTTGCGAAAAGATCATTTTTCGAAGGTTCACCGTAGAAGAGCTGATGGAAAATCTGTCAAAACCTTAACAGGTGTCCTGGTACAACATCCAATAAATGTTTGGAAACAATGCCGGGTACCTTATATCCGGTGTTCTAGCAGAAGGCTTCAGCTGCCTACAAACTACAAGTCCCAGCATGCCTTGTTCTTGTTCAGCTATTTTAAAAATGGCGTCTGACTCTTGCATTTAAAGGGATCCTGTCTCCAGACCAACAAAACCTTCCCATAAGAACAGATTTTAGGCAATATATTGACTCCTGTAGATATGCAAAAGCCCAGAAGACCACTGCCGGATGCCGCCATCTTGGATGTGATGTGAGCAGCCCCCAGACTCAACTCCATAATTCCACCAGCAGCTACATAAAAGGTTATATAGGGAGCTGAAGAGAGGGGCAGAGGGGCTGGGCCAGCACAGATCGTAATTATAAAGAGCAGAGGGCTACGACATTCAAGGAGGGAGGGGGCTGTGCTAGGGAACTGACCTTTGTGGAGCAGTTACATTTTCTTTTTCCTTTGCCCTAGAGCAGCGGTTCTCAACCTGGGGGTCGCGACCCCTTTGGGGGTCGAACGACCATTTCCCAGGGGTCGCCTAAGACCATCGGAAAACACATATTTCCGATGGTCTTAGGAACCGAGACGCCGCTTCTGTCTCCGGCGATGTGTGGGCGGGATGATATGCTGCCCCTGTCACCGCCTCCTCGCCGCTGATTGGCCACCGGAACTGTAGCTCAGGAGAGGCACACAGGCGGCCAATCACCGGCGAGAAGGTGGAGCTTGGAGAGGAGGAGCCGAGCGGCAGCGCGCGGAGATCGAAGAAGATCGAGGGAGCTGCAGGAACGAGTGAAGAGAGAGGCCAGAGAAGGAAGACAGCTGACAGGTAAGTGCAAATTTTGCTGCTGCAGCCAGGTATGCAGGCTGTAGATGGGAGAGGGAGAGAGCGAGCCCAGGCTGGAGCAGGAGTCAGCAAGGTAAGTATCATTGGTGTCAGTGGGAGGAATAGTGCCCCATCATTTGTGTCACTAATACCAACGATGGGGCACTATTCCTCCCCCCACTGACACCAACGATGGGGCACTATTCCTCCCCCCACTGACACCAACGATGGGGCACTATTCCTCCCCCCACTGACACCAACGATGGGGCACTATTCCTCCCCCCACTGACACCAACGATGGGGGCACTATTCCTCCCCCCACTGACACCAACGATGGGGCACTATTCCTCCCCCCACTGACACCAACGATGGGGCACTATTCCTCCCCCCACTGACACCAACGATGGGGCACTATTCCTCCCCCCACTGACACCAACGATGGGGCACTATTCCTCCCCCCACTGACACCAACGATGGGGCACTATTCCTCCCCCCACTGACACCAACGATGGGGCACTATTCCTCCCCCCACTGACACCAACGATGGGGCACTATTCCTCCCCCCACTGACACCAACGATGGGGCACTATTCCTCCCCCCACTGACACCAACGATGGGGCACTATTCCTCCCCCCACTGACACAACGATGGGGCACTATTCCTCCCCCCACTGACACCAACGATGGGCACTATTCCTCCCCCCACTATTCCTCCCCCCACTGACACCAACGATGGGGCACTATTCCTCCTCCCCCCACTGACACCAACGATGGGGCACTATTCCTCCCCCCACTGACACCAACGATGGGGCACTATTCCTCCCCCCACTGACACCAACGATGGGGCACTATTCCTCCCCCCACTGACACCAACGATGGGGCACTATTCCTCCCCCCACTGACACCAACGATGGGGCACTATTCCTCCCCCCACTGACACCAACGATGGGGCACTATTCCTCCCCCCACTGACACCAACGATGGGGCACTATTCCTCCCCCCACTGACACCAACGATGGGGCACTATTCCTCCCCCCACTGACACCAACGATGGGGCACTATTCCTCCCCCCACTGACACCAACGATGGGGCACTATTCCTCCCCCCACTGACACCAACGATGGGGCACTATTCCTCCCCCCACTGACACCAACGATGGGGCACTATTCCTCCCCCCACTGACACCAACGATGGGGCACTATTCCTCCCCCCACTGACACCAACGATGGGGCACTATTCCTCCCCCCACTGACACCAACGATGGGGCACTATTCCTCCCCCCACTGACACCAACGATGGGGCACTATTCCTCCCCCCACTGACACCAACGATGGGGCACTATTCCTCCCCCCACTGACACCAACGATGGGGCACTATTCCTCCCCCCACTGACACCAACGATGGGGCACTATTCCTCCCCCCCACTGACACCAACGATGGGGCACTATTCCTCCCCCCACTGACACCAACGATGGGGCACTATTCCTCCCCCCACTGACACCAACGATGGGGCACTATTCCTCCCCCCACTGACACCAACGATGGGGCACTATTCCTCCCCCCACTGACACCAACGATGGGGCACTATTCCTCCCCCCACTGACACCAACGATGGGGCACTATTCCTCCCCCCACTGACACCAACGATGGGGCACTATTCCTCCCCCCACTGACACCAACGATGGGGCACTATTCCTCCCCCCACTGACACCAACGATGGGGCACTATTCCTCCCCCCACTGACACCAACGATGGGGCACTATTCCCCCCCCACTGACACCCACGATGGGGCACTATTCCTCCCCCCACTGACACCAACGATGGGGCACTATTCCTCCCCCCACTGACACCAATGATGGGGCACTATTCCTCCCCCCACTGACACCAATGATGGGGCACTATTCCTCCCACCCACCACTGCACTATTCCTCCCACTGACACCAATGATGGGGCACTATTCCTCCCACTGACACCAATGATGGGGCACTATTCCTCCCACTGACACCAATGGGGCACTATTCCTCCCACTGACACCAATGATGGGGCACTATTCCTCCCACTGATACCAATGATGGGGCACTATTCCTCCCACTGACACCAATGATGGGGCACTATTCCTCCCACTGACACCAATGATGGGCACTATTCCTCCCACTGACACCAATGATGGGGCACTATTCCTCCCACTGACACCAATGATGGGGCACTATTCCTCCCACTGACACCAATGATGGGGCACTATTCCTCCCACTGACCATGATGGGGCACTATTCCTCCCACTGACACCAATGATGGGGCACTATTCCTCCCACTGACACCAATGATGGGGCACTATTCCTCCCACTGACACCAATGATGGGGCACTATTCCTCCCACTGACACAATGATGGGGCACTATTCCTCCCACTGACACCAATGATGGGGCACTATTCCTCCCACTGACACCAATGATGGGGCACTATTCCTCCCACTGACGCCAATGATGGGGCACTATTCCCATCCCATGATGACTATTCCCAATGACACCAATGATGGGGCACTATTCATCCCACTGATACCAATGATGGGGCACTATTCCTCCCACTGACGCCAATGATGGGACACTATTCCTCCCACTGACGCCAATGATGGGGCACTATTCCTCCCACTGACGCCAATGATGGGGGCACTATTCCTCCCACTGACGCCAATGATGGGACACTATTCCTCCCACTGACACCAATGATGGGGCACTATTCCTCCAACTGATACCAACCAATGATGGGACACTATTCCTCCCACTGACACCAATGATGGGGCACTATTCCTCCCACTGACACCAATGATGGGGCACTATTCCTCCCACTGATACCAACGATGGGACACTATTCCTCCCACTGATACCAATGATGGGGCACTATTCATCCCACTGACATCAGTGATGGGGCACTATTCCTCCCACTGCAAAATTACAGTTATGAAGTAGCAACGAAAATAATTTTATGGTTGGGGGTCACCACAACATGAGGAACTGTATTAAGGGGTCGCGGCATTAGAAAGGTTGAGAACCACTGCCCTAGAGGGACCCCCTAAATCTGCTGCTGGGTCTCGCCATCTTGGATGTGATGTCAGCAGCTCCAGCAGCCTAAGAGCTGGCACTCAAACTCCATTCTATAGCAGCCTTTCCCAACGTTTTTACCCTAGAGTCTCTGAACTTTCTAAACAAAGGGCCAGTTTACTGTCCTTCAGACCCAAGGGGGGCCAAACTGTCCCAGTGAGAATAGAAAATGCCCCATGTCAGTGGGAGCAAACAGTGCCTCAGGCTTGGTGGTTCAGGGGAGTAAAAGAATTACATAGCCCATGTGGTCAGTAGGAGGAGGAATAGAACTCCATCATTGGTACTGGTGGGAGAAATAGTGTTCCATCATTGGTGTTGGTGAGAGGACTAGTACCCCATTGTTGGTGTCAGTGAGAGGACTAGTACCCCATTGTTGGTGTCAGTGAGAGGACTAGTACCCCATTGTTGGTGTCAGTGGAAGGAATAGTGCCCCATGTTAGTGTCTGTGGTAGGAATAGTGCCCCATCATTTTTGTCTGTGGGAGGTATAGTGCCCCACCATTGGTGTCAGTAGGAGGAGGTATAATACTCCATCATTGCTACTGGTGGGAGAAATAGTGTTCCATCACTGGTGTTTCAGTGAGAAGACTAGTACCCCATTGTTGGTGTCAGTGGAAGGAATAGTGCCCCATTGTTGGTTTCATCAGGATAAATAGTGCCCCATTGTTGGTGTCATCAGGATAAATAGTGCCCCATTGTTGGTGTCATCAGGATAAATAGTGCCCCATTGTTGGTGTCAGAGGAAGGAATAGTGCCCCATTGTTGGTGTCAATGGATTAAAGAGTGTCTCATTGTTCATGTCAGTGGGAGAAACAGTGCCCCATTGTTGGTGTCAGTGGGAGGAATAGTGCCCCATGATTGGTATCCATGGAAGGAGTAGTGCCCCATCATTGGTGTCAGTGGGAGGAATAGTGTCCCATCATTGGTATCAGTGGGAGGAATAGTGCCCCATCATTGGTGTCAGTGGGAGGAATAGTGCCCCATCATTGGTGTCAGTGGGAGGAATAGTGCCCCATCATTGGTGTCAGTGGGAGGAATAGTGCCCCATCATTGGTATCAGTGGGAGGAATAGTGCCCCATCATTGGTATCAGTGGGAGGAATAGTGTCCCATCATTGGTATCAGTGGGAGGAATAGTGCCCCATCATTGGTATCAGTGGGAGGAATAGTGCCCCATCATTGGTATCAGTGGGAGGAATAGTGCCCCATCATTGGTGTCAGTGGGAGGAATAGTGCCCCATCATTGGTGTCAGTGGGAAGAATAGTGCCCTATTGTTGATGGGTGAAACAGTGTCCTATTTTTAATGTCAGTGGGAGGAATAGTGCCCCATGACTGGTATCACTGGGAGGCATAGTGCCTCATTGTTCATGTCTGTGGGAGGAACAGTGTCCTATTTTTGGTGTCAGTGGGAGGAATAGCACCCTATTGTTGGTGTGAGATCGAGGTATTAGGCCCCAAAGTTGGTGTAGATGGAAGGAATGGTGCCTCACTGTTGGTGTCAGTGGAAGAAAAAGTACCTTGTATCAGTGGGAAGAACAGTTCTCCAAGGGCTGGAAGCAATTAAAGGGCTGCATCTGGCCTGGGGGCCACAGTTTGGAGACCACTGCCCTAGAGGGACCCTAAAATAACTAAAACCAGCTCATGGGGGGTCAATGGGAAAATGCCCTTTAGACTGGTGGTCAGTAGAATGGACACAACCCTTACAGTGGTGGTCAGGATGCCAATCTTACAGACAACTAAAACAATAACAGGTTCTGGGCTTGCTTTGCCAAGTAACATTGGCCCCACAACGACACCAGATGACCTCAATCAGCCACAGCTTAAGGAACCTCTGGAGGCTTCTCTATAGTATTCCCCTTTTGATCTTCCCCTGGCAGCTACATGAAAGGTTATTTAGAAAGATGAGGGGAGGGGTGGAGGAGCTGGGTCAGCACAGGCACTACCTAAAGATATAGCCTTCCCTGGCAATTACATCAAATGTTATGTATAGAGGTGACAGGAGAGGTGGAGTCGGCCAACACAAGCACTACAAGAAGAAGGTGGAGGTGTTCCTGGAGTATTCAGATTTGCTAACAAGTTCAAAAGGCACATTGCAAGCGAATAGAAAACTAATTTAGAGAGAGGAAAACCAGTAAGATTTTTTTTCTGTACTCTTGATGGGAATGTTTTAAGTTGGTGACAGGGTCTCTTTAAAAACTACCTTGGCTGTCCAATGGCGGACTCGCATGAAGAGGCTGATGCAGTATCTCTTTGCTTGTTAGTTTGCAGCACAAGCTATTTAGACAAGACTATTTCTGAAGAAACTTTCAAACCTGAAATATTAATAAGCTTGCCTAGAGCTATACTACTTGAAGTCAGCTTCTGACCTCCGGTCACTCCACCCATGGATTTTACCTGGTGCGGGAGCTGCATTTTAATATTTTACCTACAGTGCCACCTACTGATTAGCTATGGTATTACAACATAGTCATATTTTAACTACAGTGCCAACTACTGATTAGCCGTGGTATTGCAGTGTGGTGTCTAATGTACTTGTGATACAACATGAAAACTTCTACAGGAAAAGCCACCTTGGCGTGAGGATCCTGCCGCTGCTCTAAATAGGATTGGGGCCTGCCGCCCCCTGGAATTTTAACTCCCCCTCACCAAGACCCAAGTTCTATGTGTTCTTTTTCAGGAGACCTGGGCCTGAAAATGTCCGGGGCCATATCATAGGTGCTTTTAACTCTCATGTGACTGAATGGATAAGCTCCCAATTTGTTATAGGGGGATGTACAATCCATGTATAAAGACTTGAACTACAGTATCTCCCAGAAGTGAGTCCACCCCTCACATTTTTGTAAATATTTGATTCTCTCTTTTCATGTGACAACACTGAAGAAATGACACTTTGCTACAATGTGACGTAGTCAGTGTACAGCTTGTCTAACATGTAAATTTGCTGTCCCCTCAAAATAACTCAACACACCGCCATTAATGTCTAACCCGCTGGCAACAAAAGTGAGTACACCCCTAAGTGAGAAGGTCCAAATTGGGCCCAATTAGCCATTTTCCCTCCCTGGTGTCATGTGACTCGTTAGTGTTACAAGGTTTCAGGTGTGAATGGGGAGCAGGTGTGTTAAATTTGGTGTTATCGCTCTCACTCTCTCATACTGGTCACTTGAAGTTCAACATGGCACCTCATGGCAAACTACTTTCTGAGGATCTGAAAAAAAGAATTGTTCTACATAAAGGTGGCCTAGGCTATAAGAAGATTTCCAAGACCCTGAAACCGAGCTGCAGCACGGTGGCCAAGACCATACAGCGGTTTAACAGGACAGGTTCCACTCAGAACAGGCCTCGCCATGGTTGACCAAAGAAGTTGAGTGCACGTGCTCAGCGTCATATCCAGGAAAATTGGGAAATAGACGTATGAGTGCTGCCAGCATTGCTGCAGAGGTTTAAGGGGTGGGGGGTCAGCCTGTCAGTGCTCAGACCATACCCCGCACACTGCATCAAATTGGTCTGCATGGCTGTCATTCCAGAAGGAATCCTCTTCTAAAGATGATGCACAAGAAAGCCCACAAACAGTTTGCTGAAGACAAGCAGACTAAGGACATGGATTACTGGAACCATCTCCTGTGGTCTGATGACACCAAGATCAACTGATTTGTTTCAGATGGTGTCAGGCGTGTGTGGCGGCAACCAGATGAGGAGAACAAAGATAAGTGTGTCTTGCCTACAGTCAAGCATGGTGGTGGGAGTGTCATGGTCTGGGGCTGCATGAGTGCTGCCGGCACTGGGGAGCTACAGTTCACTGAGGGAACCATGAATGACAACATGTACTGTGACATACTGAAGCAGAGCATGATCCCCTCCTTTCAGAGACTGGACTGCAGGTAGCATATGCCAACATGATAACGACCCCAAACACACCTCCAAGACCACCACTGCCTTGTGAAAGAAGCTAAGGGTAAGGGTGATGGACTGGCCAAGCATGTCTCCAGACGTAAATCCTATTGAGCATCTGTGGGACATCCTCAAATGGAAGGTGGAGGAGCACAAGATCTCTAACATCCACCAGCTCCGTGATGTCATCATGGAGGGGTGGAAGAGGACTCCAGTGGGAACCTGTGAAGCTCTGGTGAACTCCATGCCCAAGAGGGTTAAGGCAGTGCTGTAAAATAATGGCGGCCACACAAAATATTGACACTTTGGGCCCAATTTGGACCTTGTCACTTAGGGGTGGACTTAATTTTGTTGCCAGTGGTTTAGACATTAATGGCTGTGTGTTGAGATATTTTGAGGAGACAGAAAATTTCCATGTTATACAAGCTGTACACTGACTACGTCACATTGTAGCAAAGTGTAATTTCTTCAGTGTTGTCACATGAAAAGAGAAAATCAAATATTTACAAAAATGCGAGGCGTGGACTCACTTCTGGGTGATACTGTATATGGTCAGAGGTGTACAGTTCCCCATTAGTCCTAATGACTTCACTGTTCTCCACAGTAACATGGTTTACATTTTTGCTCTCCACCGACACGTTTCATCGTGATCAAGAAGTAGAAAAGAAAGAACTGAATGATGGTAGGAAAGAAAGAACTGGAAGATGGATAGCAGTCTTTGGAGAGAAAAGAGCACAAGTACAGTGTGTGAACAGCTGCAGGATCAGATTCCATGCAGCCTGTTCATTCTGAGTTGCCCTTTTTTTGCAGTGCACATCAGCAAAATGCAATATAAAGCTGTATAGAAAAGTCACATTAAAAAATTGCATTGAATCGGCCTATCATTGACAGTGAACCTTTTGATAGATTTAAACCTTAAATCTGTCTTTCGGTATGTTTGGCCTCATGTCTTGCTGTATTTTTTTTTTTTTATGCAAGTTTTTTTTCTGAATCTGTTACATAATTTCTTGACTGGATATCTTGCTTTTAACAGCATTCCGGTTGCTTTCTGACCACGCTAAGCCGATGCCTCATAGTTAGCAGCAGTGTTATCAGTGTGCCGCATTCGCTTCTTGAGTTGGGTTGCCTACTAACAGCCAAATGAAGGAGCGCATGTGGCAGGCTGACAACGCTGCTGATGTCTATGAATCAATGGCTTAGCATTGTCGGGCTGCAAGAGGAAGTGCTGTTACCGGCAGGATCTCCAGACTGGAGACTAATTCACAAAAACCATAAACCGTGAGCAGGGGCGGACTGACAACTCATGGGGCCCCCGGGCAATAGGGGATCATAGGGCCCCTGTGTCCTTGCCCAAACTAAATAAAGCCTATGAAAAAGGTACCAGGGGCATCTCATGGGGCCCCCTACTGACCCCGGGCCCTCGGGCAGTGCCTGAGTTTCCAAATGGTCAGTCCGCCCCTGACCGTGAGACATGAGGCCCAACAGCAGGATAAAGGGTCTCCATATGCTTTAAATGTGTTATGTCTGTAAAGGTGGCAATGCTGCTAGTCGATTTGCATGTCTAGTAAATTTAATCTGAAGATTCAATCTGTAATTCCAGACAGTTGTTTTGGATCGAAGCAAGGAACATATAGAACCTCTGGTAAGTTGTTGTTTTGTTTTTTAAGTCTGGCCCCATATTGATGAGATCCCCTCCCCCACACTTTGTAACAAACTGCCACTGGAACAGGAAGCAAGGACAAATCTCCAAAGGGACACAAGCAGCAATGTATACTTGATGGGATTAGTCTTACTCCATTCTAGGAATGTTCCAGGAAAAAAGTTATTAGAAAAGAGCTTTCACTTTAACCTTTAAAGTCATCATGGCAAGTGTGACAAGGGGGGAAAACTATGAGTTATTAAAAAGGAAAGTCACCCGGTTAGGGGAAAACTAGTATGGCAGATGCGGACTTTTGAGAAACACATACATTTCAGCCCATAAAGTCCAGAACTGTCTTCCTTGCACCCAATTCTTCAAGGGTTTCGGATCTTCCCTGCCATCATCTTCGATTCGGGAGCCAGCTGTCAGTTCCTGATCACTCACAGCCAGCCCCCTACTATACCCAGAACACAGGAAGGCTGGTTCTTCACAATTCTCCTTGCACCCAATTCTTCAAGGGTTTCTGATCTTTCCTGCCACCATCTTGGATTCGGGAGCCAGCTGTCAGTTCCTGATCACACACAGCCAGCCCCCCTACTATACCCAGACCTCAGGAAGGCTGGTTCTTCATCATTCTCCATGCACCCAATTCTTCAAGGGTTTCTGATCTTCCCTGTCACCATCTTGGATTCGGGAGCCAGCTGTCAGTTCCTGATCACTCACAGCCAGCCCGCTACTATACCCAGACCACAGGAAGGCTGGTTCTTCATCATTCTTGCACCCAATTCTTCAAAGGTTTCTGATCTTCCCTGCTACCATCTTGGATTCGGGAGCCGGCTGTCAGTTCCTGATCACTCACAGCCAGCCCCCTACTATACCCAGACCAAAGGAAGGCTGGTTCTTCATCATTCTCCATGCACCCAATTCTTTGCAGGACTTCTAATCTTCCCTGCCACCATTTTGGATCATGGAAGCCAGTTCTCAGTTCCTGATTACTCACAGCCAGCTCCCTACTATATCCGGATGGCAGGAAAGCCAGTCCTGCAATGTCTTCCTTGCACCCAATTCTTCACAAGACTTCTGATCTTTCCTGCCACCATCTTGGATTATGGAAGCCAGCTGTCAGTTCCTGATCACTCACTAGCATGATTAGCATGATGGTTGACCTCAAAGGGCTGGTCGTATCTGTAATACTTGATGTCAAGAGCATCCCACTCCCCTTCCTTACATCAGATATCAAGAATCCCCTACCTTTCCTTACATCACAGTGCACCCCTTTACCTTGTGCCACTGTCTGGAGGAGCACCAGAGGAGGGCAGAGGTCAGCTGCTGGAGTCAGCTAAATGCAAAGACCAGGGAAGGTGGAGACGATGGGGTGCTGCCACTGTGGGGGCGAAGACAAGTATGGAAAAATTTTTAAAGAGACTGCTTTCCTTTGATCATTTTTAAGTCTTTGTTGTCTGTGAATGTCAGAAAGTCACATCCTCTGCCTTAGATTTTTATTAGATGTCCCATGTGATTTTTGTATGTTCTCTATGTTCTATAAAGTCTGCTGTGACACCACCAGCAGGCACATTCCTAGGCTTTAATGATCCTCTTGAGTGTGCATGTGGCCTGTTGTCCCCATTCTATGCAAGCAAATAGAAAACGGGAAGAGTTGACCCTAAGGACCCACTCACACACAAATGTATTGGGGTCACGCATGTATCATGTATTACCTTAATATTTTGAATGGCACTGCAATGCACTAAGGAAATGCATCTGCATTACGTTAAAAACAAAGGGTCACATACGTTTTTTTGCATCTTGGGGTGTGCTGGCAGCCCATTCATTTCAATAGGCTGCCTTAAAGCAATGCTCGTAGATGTACTGCAGAATGCACCTTAATGGACCACAAATAATTAAATGGGTCCTAAAAGGAGAAACCTGAGAATGGGAGTCTGCAGGATGTGGATGGCAATGTAGACCCAGAAATGTTTGCTCAATCATCATAGGTTAGAAACCCATCCGTATCACCTGTATCAAGATTACAATATACATACTGTATACTATTAGTGATCAATAGAAAATTGTGTAGGGTACGGAAGTAATAAAGGATGGGGAGGGGTATGGAAGTCATGGAAAGAGGAGCAGGGGGCAGGAACGGAAAATAGCAAGTCAGTTTCAACAGTAGAAATGCCTCTAACCTTTTACAGAAATCTCCTTTTTTTAGTCCATAGTTTGTCTAAGAGATAACTACATCCAGCCATTGGTGAAGGGTGATGATGATGAAGATAATAAAAGAACATTGGATGATGTGATAGAGACACCAGCAGAAAGGAATGTCTTAAATTCAGTGTAATCAGACAGGAGCTGTATGGCGTGTGACATTGAGTGACTGATAGCGCATGTAGAGATCAGGTGACTGCACGTAGCCGTAGGGATCCCAATGTTCCACAAAGTACCACGTAGTATATCAGAAAGGTTGGACGATTAGTATTATGTCTGCCATTGAAGGTTATTGTGATAAATGAGCACGACCACTTGGAAAATGTTTCCATCAAGGTCTGTTTGTGTAGTTTGGCAGGCAGATGTAGGTATCTCAGTGTTTTACAGAGGCCAAAAGGGGGTCCAACTCGATACTAGCAAAGTGTACCTAATAAAGTGACCGATGAGTGTAAATCTTTTCTGGGAGCCACAAGACTTTGTGGACAAGTCTCCTGTCCATCTCCTTTGTCTCCTATGGGTGGGCCATCCCAGTGTTCCACAGAGGTAGGCAACTGTAGGTACCCCAATGTTCCACAGAGGGCTTTCTCCATGTAGCATATTGGAAAGATTGGACGATTGATAATATATCTCTGGCATTGAAGGTTAAGGAAAAACATGAGCTCCACCTCTTACAAAATGTTCCCATCTAGGTATCTTTGTGTAGTTTGCCAGGTAGCCATAGGCATCCCAGTGTTATACAGAGGGCTTCCTCCTAGTGGCACGTCTTATAAAGAAAGATTGGACAATTGATATTATGGCACTTGCATTGAAGGTTAATGTAGTAAACAAGTGTCAACTATTCCAAATCAGATTGTCTTTGTGTAGTCTGGTGGGTAGCCATAGGCATCTCAATGTTCCACAGAGGGCTTCCTCCTAGTACCGAGTAGTATGTTGGAAAGGTTGGGAGATTGTTATTATGGCGCTGGCATTGAATGCTCATGTAATAAATGAGTGTCACCTCTTTAAAAAATTTCTGTGTAGTTTGGCATCGTGACCCTTCTTTCCGCATTAACATTTTAGGGTTCATGCACAAGGCCAAGATGGACTGGGCTCATACCAGTTTATTATTAGCTTGGAAAGAAATAATGGCCAACCGGTTATCACCCAAACCCTCCACTCTGGCAAACCTCTGTGTTGCAATTAAGACCTCATCAACTGCTGAGGGGAACAGTTGATGGCCTTCCCATGGAAATTAAGATTTATAAGCAATGCCTTTTCATGAAAAGGCTGTGTGGTTCCCGGCAGCCACAGAGGCAAGATCTCTATGGACAGGTAATGGAAAACTTGGTGTGGAGGGGGCAACATTTCGAGTGTATCTAAACCCAGGAACAAAAATGGAATATAAAGCAGCAGGAGGAACATGAAGTGAGAGGCTGAGATGCAGAAGCGTGGGAAGAGGTCACGTGGGAAGGGGTCTACCTCCAGGCAGAGTTGCTGGAAAGGAGGATCACTCAACTTCAGGAGTCCCCTGAGAAAGGACCACCTGTGCAGCAGAGAAGGAGCCAGCCCAGAAGAAGGCCTGAAGGCAGCCACCAACCCAACAAGCTCACAGGAGAGGAAGAGTGAGTGCTCTTACACCCCCTGGGCCGGATAAGGGGAAAAGGTATTTGGGTGGCAAAACTGACTACCCCCTCATTTGGGACTGTTTGTTCTAAGGTGACAGATTCTGGGTCCCCTTGCCCAGAGGTTCACCCAGTACAGCTGGATGAGGAGAGGATTCATCTGGGGTGGTATATTAGGAGAAGTTGGAGAGCTCTCCATGAAGAAATCTGCTATAGAGACTTGTATATAGTTGCTACGGTGTTGTCCTCAGCTGCAGTTCCCTTGGGCATCCCACACACCCCTAAACCCCATCCAAGTTCAATACCCCTAATAAAACTAAAAAAAAAAAACAAGCTCAAGGACTGTTTACTGTCTCCAGAATGCAAGTCTGTGGAAAATGCATGTTGCCTGGCTGTGCAGGACTATAGGGGACCCAAATCTTCAGCAATTCCTAAGGGGGTAGTGCTACAGGAGAAAAATAATAGAAGATCATTGTAAGAGTTTATATACACGCTAAAAAAATAATTGTACTAAAATACAACTATTCATTAAAGGAAGGAGAGAGGAGCCCAGATATGCCCCTAGCAGTGTGAAGATGTTCGATCAAATTCACGATCACATGATCAGGAACTCCACCTCTTGGTGTTTAAGAGCTCCCGGGAGGCGTTGGCAAAGGGTCAGGGGTGGACTGACAGCTCATGGGGCCCCCGGGCAATAGGGGATCATGGGGCCCCTGTGTCCTTGCCCAAACTCAAAAAAGCCTATGAAAAAGGTACCAGGGGCATCTCATGGGACCCCCTACTGACCTCGGGCCCTCGGGAAGTGCCCGAGTTTCCAAATGGTCAGTCCGCCCCTGCAAAGGGTTACAAAAACACACATTAGCATATGGATTCTTATTTTAAAGAAGTGCCGGTTATTTTCAAATGAGTCTGCTTAAAAAAAATGTTGGCCTACCCTGATGTCTTCAGACTCATAGCACTCTTGCTAACTGTCAATGATGTTCTCTACAGCAATACCACCTCTTCTCTCATGGTGCAAAAGGCTTATCACCTCCTCCTGTTGCTGGGTGACACCAGGTCATTAATAGGAGCAGTGGTGTCACCCAGGGATGCTTATGACCGCACCAAACTACAAATATGGAGGAGCCTACACACACCCCACCTTTGGATGCACAGCGGGACACACCAGGGCACGGTCTCCTGTCTTTCAGCTGATGTGCTTTGCATGCTGGGAGCTGTAGTCCTATAACCACTGTCACATGACATTAAGGAGCCATTCACCTGCGTCTGGAGCACAGGAAGGAGCACGAGGACCATACACGGAGGTGTATTTTATTGAATAAAAATTTGTATTTGTAACAGAATATTTAATAAAAGAAGCGAGCCATTCATCTTTTAGTGGCATGCAATACAAAATGATTGAATTTAATGGGGCAGCTTAGTTCTACTTTAAATCCACATACTTCACAGACAGGATCACGGCATATTATTGTGTACAGTTTAATAATAAAAACATTTCTATTCATTTTCATCAAACAGCGGCTCTTCTCCAGCGTCCTCACCAGAAAGTCCCGAACACGTTGGGAATGCAGCACCTGTTGGCAGGTTACAGGTAAAGTATACTGGTTAAAGTGGACCTGTCATTGAAATTCAAACTTTATATTAGAAGAGAGGTCGTACTGTAGGCGGGCATTGCTAAATAATCACTTTATTATCTGAAGTTAAAAAACAAGTAAACACAAAAATAAAAATGGGTGAAATAAAGCCTTGGCAGCCTTGATCACATGGTCTCTGGCTACCAGTGAGAATTAAGGACGACGCATAGAGCTTTCAATCAGAACCTGTCTCATAGGCAGGGGTGGTGGTGCTAGGGAATGGGAGACAGAAGGTTCTTGATAGGAGGGCAGTAAAAGCATGGATTTTTTTTTTATACATTGGTGGTTTAGTGCAGTGTTTTCCCCTACTAGCCATGGACCAATGCACAACATGTCTATTTTAAGTGATACTGTTATTGTCTAGCATTATTGAAGATGCAGGCTTCATGGATCCTTAGATCACTTCTTCATGCTTTATTCTATTCATATCATTTATTTATATAATAAATAAAGCTTAAGGAAGGGATCCAAGGGGTCCTGAAAACTTTAATTATTAACAAATTTAATTAACCAATAAACAGCATCTCCTAAAATGTCTACCTTTCCATCAATCCACTGCCCCCTTCCCATTACTCTTCTGCCTTCCTTTCCCTCTTCCCCTTCTATCACCCTTACTCTTCTATTATCCTTCCTCCCTGTACTCTTCCCCCTCTATTACATTCCTCCCCATACCCTCTGTTTCCCCTCTTCCCCCTCTATCTAACTTTTTACATTTCCATCAACCAACTGCCCCCTTCCCATTACTCTTCTGCCTTTCTTTCCCTCTTTCCCTTCTATCACCCTAACTCTTCTATCACTCTCCCCATACTCTTCCTTTCCCTGTTCCCCCTCTATCAACCTTCCTCCCCATACTCTTCCTCTTCCCCTGCTATCATTCTTCCTTTCCCTCTCCCCCTTTATCACTCTTCCTCCCTGTACTCTTCCCCCTCTACCAGGCGTTATCCCCATACTCTTCCTTCCTTTACCCTTCCTCCCTGTACTCTTCCTTTCCCTCTTCCCTCTCTATCACCCTTCCTCCCTGTACTCTTCCTTTCCCTCTTCCCCCTCTATCACCCTTCCTCCCTGTACTTCTTTCCCCTCTTCCTCTCTTTCACCTTCCTTCCTGTACTCCTCATTTCCCCTCTTTCTTATCACCCTTCCTCCCTGTACTCTTCATTTCCCTCTTCCCCCTCTATCACATTTTTCCCCATACCCTCTCTTTCCCCTTTTCCCCCTCTATTGAACTTTTTACATTTCCATCAATCAACCGCCCCCTCCCCATTACTCTTCTGCCTTCCTTGCCCCTCTTCCCTTTCTGTCACCCTTTCTCTTCTATCACCCTCCCCATACTCTTCCTTTCCCTGTTCCCCCTCTATCACCCTTCCTCCCCATGTTTTCCTTTCCCTCTTCCCCCTCTATCACCCTTCCTTCCCATGCTCTTCCTTTCCCTCTTCCCCCTCTATCACCCTTCCTCCCCATGCTTTTCCTTTCCCTCTTCCCCCCCTCTATCATCCTTCCTCCCCGTACTCTTCCTTTCCCTCTTTCCCTCTATAGCCCTTCCTCTCTGTACTCTTCCTTTCCCTCTTCCCCCTCTATCACCCTTCCTCCCTGTACTTCTTTCTCCTCTTCCTCTCTTTTACCTTCCTCCCTGTACTCTTCATTTCCCTCTTCCCCCTCTATCACCCTTCCACCCTGTACTCTTCCTTTCCTCTCTTCCCCCTCTATCACATTTCTCCCCATACCCTCCCTTTCCCCTCTTCCCCCTGTATTGAACTTTTTAAATTTCCATCAATCAACCGCCCCCTCCCCATTACTCTTCTGCCTTCCTCGCCCTCTTCCCTTTCTATCACCCTCCCCATACTCTTCCTTTCCCTGTTCCCCCCTCTATCACCCTTCCTCCCCATGCTTTTCCTTTCCCTTTTCCCCCTCTATCACCCTTCATCCCCATGCTCTTCCTTTCCTTGTTCCCCCTCTATCACCCTTCCTCCCCATGCTCTTCCTTTCCCTGTTCCCCCTCTATCACCCTCCCTCCCTATGCTCTTCTATTCCCTCTTCCCACTCTATCACCCTTCCTCCCTATGCTCTTCCCTCTCTACTAGCCTTTATTCCCATATGTTTCCTTTCCCTCTTGCCCCTCTATCACCCTTCCTCCCATACTCTTCCTTTCCCTTTGTCCCTCTCTCACCCTTCCTCCCTGTACTCTTCCTTTCCCCTCTCTCTTTCACCCTTCTTCCCCATACTCTTCCTTTCCCCTCTTCACCATCTGTCACCCTTAGGGGTTGCTGATGAATTGGGTCCCCTATAGTCCTCCACAGCCAGGCAATCTGCATTTTCCACACAGGCTTGCATCCAGAGACAGAAATCAGTTCTTGGGCTTTTGTTTTGTTGTTTTGTTGTTTTATTGAGAAGATTTTGAACTTGGATAGGGTAAAGGGGTGTACAGGATGCCCTAGGGAACTGACAGCTGAGGACAATCTTCCTGGAACTATTCACAAAACTTTTCTCTGCATTTCAGTCTCTGTTGGAGAGCCAGCATCTCCTTGATGTACCAATCCAGACCCTAGATGAAATGTTCCTCTTCACCCAGCAAACTGGAGATTTTCCTGCGAAGGGGATCTGGCTCCTGTCCCTTTAGTCCAATCATTAGTAGGGGGCTAATCTGGTTTTCCACCAGAGTGCTCCTTCCCCTATCCACCTAGGGGGTTCAGGTATACTCAGTTAGATTATCTCCTGTACCGCTTGTGGGTTGGCTACTGCTACCAGGTCTATCACCTGGGCTGCTCCTTCCCTGCCATACAGGTGGTCCTCTCTGATGGAGCCAGTGAGTTCCAAGTTTTCCCCCTTTCCAGCTCCAGGCTCGCAGGCAAGCCCCATCCCACTAGGCCTATTGGTAACCTCTGCCCCACATTTTCCTCTCCACACTCCTCCACCCACCATTGCTATTGAGCAGGCTCCAACACTTTTAAGGAAGCCCAAGCCCCTTGCCAAGTCTTCTGTTAGGGACTGGCTGAGGTCTCTCAAGAGTACAGCCAGAAACTTCTCACATCCACCCACTGCCTCCAAGGCCTTCCTCTAAAAGCCTCAGAGCAGGGGGAAATTCCAGAGGGGCTGGCCTGCAGAACTTCTCAGCCCTGACCACAATTAGACCCCTCTGGCTATTACACCTGAGCTGCTATTCAGCTCCTGTCTAACCATTAGGATCTAGCTCCCTCTAGCTAAATTAGGAGGGTGTTACACCCTTCCTCCCTGTGCTCTTCATTTCTTTTCTCCCCCTCTATCATCATTCCTCCCTACACTCTCTCTTTCCCTCTTCCCCCTCTATCACCCTTCCTCTATATATTCTGCCTCTCCTCCCCCTCCATGACTGCCAAGGCAGTGAGGCTATGATTGCACAACAATGGTTCCAACCATGCTATGACCAATGGAAGTACACACATACAAATTCACCTCCCATCCACAAGATGGTGGACCCCAGTACATCAGATCACAGCTCCCCTACTTCATTCGGGTGCTTTTCTTTTCATTAATCTTTGCACCTTTTTCATCTCTTTCACGTGTGAAAATGCATTATATACAGTGAATTCATAAAGTATTCAAACCCCCTTCACTTTTTTCAGTGTTATTATGCTGCAGCCTGATACTACAGTTGTTAAAATTCATTTTTTTTCTTATTAATCTACACTCAGTACCCCATAATGACAATAAGTGAAAACAGAATTTTAGAAATGTTTGCAAATGTATGAAAAAAGAAAAACTGAAATATCAGATTGGAATAAGTATTCAGACCCTTTTCAACAACACTTGAAATTTAGCTCAGGTGCCTTCAATTTCTCTTGATCATTGCTGAGATGTTTCTACACCTTGGTTGGAGCCCACCTGGGGTAAATTAAATTTATTGGACATGATTTGGAAAGGCACACACCCAGGGGCGGACTGACAACTCATGGGGCCCCCAGGCAATAGGGGATCATGGGGCCCCTGTGTCCTTGCCCAAACTCTAAAAAGCCTATGAAAAAGGTACCAGGGGCATCTCATGGGGCCCCTACTGACCCCGGGCCCTTGGGCAGTGCCCGAGTTTCCAAATGGTCAGTCCGCCCCTGCACACACCTCTCTATATCCCTATAAAAGACCTCACAACTGACAATGCATACTGTATCAGAGCAAAAGCCATGGGGAAAAAGGGAACTGCCTGCAGAGTTCAGAAACAGGATTATTGCAAGGCACAGATCTTGGGAAAGCTACAAAAAACTTCTGCTGTACTTAAGCTTCCCAAAAGCACAGTGGCCTACATAATTATCAAATGGAAGAAGTTTGGCACAGCCGGGACTCTTCCAAGAGCTGGTTGCCTGGCCAAACTGAGCAATCGGAGGGAGAAGAGCCTAAGTAAGAGAGGTGACCAAGAAGCCAATGGTCACTCTGACTGAGCTCCAGGGATCCTGCGTCTAGATGGGACAAAGTTCCAGAAGGACAACTACCCCTGCAGTCCTCCACCGATCTGGGCTTTATGGCAGAGTAGTTAGACCAGGGTTCCTCCAGAGGTTCCTCTGGGTTTCTTGAGCAATGAGAAGTTTCTGACACTGAGATACATCTCTAATGATACCATTGATCTTTTTAGCTCTCGGTAAGGGGCTAATTCTTCCCAATGGCACACGTGGTAGGATCATTCTTCTCACTGACCATCACACTAATGTATCAGGAGTTTTTAGACATTTTTTGCAGGGTTCCCCAAGACCAGAAAGTTATTTCAGGGGTTCTTCTGTGTTGAAAAGGTTGAGAAAGGCTGGGCTAGATGGAATCCTCTCCTTTTCACTTTGGAATGATTTCCTTTCACTTCTGGTCACACAATTTTAAAACTAGAGTGGGAAAACCCATCCCTTCTTCAGCATTTGATCCAACACCAGTCCTGTGAGCTCCTTGTCTGCCAGTCAGGCCACCTACCAGTTACTCCGCCACTTGCCCGGCCAAACTGAGCAATCGGGGGAGAAGGACCTTAGTAAGTGAAGTGTCCAAGAACCCGATTGTCATTCTGACTGAGCTCCAGAGATCCTGTGTGGAAATGGAACAAAGTTTCAGAGGACAACCATCACTGCAGCCCTCCACTGATCTGGGCTTTATGGCAGAGTGGCTAGACAGAAGCCTTTCCTGAAGGACTCTCAGGCTGTCAGGAACAAAATTCTGTGGTCTGATGAAACCAAGATTGAACTGTTTGGCCTCAATTCTAAATTTTATGCCTGGAGGAAACCAGACATTGTTCATCACCTGCCAAATACCATCCCAACAGTGAAGCTTACTGGTGGCAGCATCATGCTGTGGGGGTGTTTTTCAGAAGCAGGCACTGGGAAACTGGTCAAGGTTGATTGAAAGTTGAATGGAGCTAAGTACAGAGATATCCTCAATGAGAACCTGTTCCACAGTGCTCAGAACCTCAAACTGGCCAAAGGTTCACCTTCGAACAACGATCCTAAGCACACAACCAAGAACCAACACAGGAGTGGCTTAGGGACAACTACGTGAATGTCCTAGAGTTGCCCAGTCAGAGCCCTGACTTGAACCCTCTTGAATATCCTTGGTGAGACCTGAAATTGGCTGTTCATAGACGGTCCCCATTCCACCTGACAGAGCTTGAGAGGATTTGCAAAGAAAAATGGCAGAAAATCCCCCAATCCAGGTGTGCAAAGCTTGTTGTGCCACACACAAAAAGACTCGAGGCTGTAATTGCTGCCAAAGGTGTTTCAGCAAAGTAAAGGGTATGAATACTTAAAGTATTACTAAACCCAGGACCCTGCATTCACTGTATCTGGTCTTCCAGGACCCTGCATTCACTATATCTGATCTCCCAGACCCTGCATTCACTATATCTGGTCTTCCAGGACCCTGCATTCACTATATCTGATCTCCCAGACCCTGCATTCACTATATCTAATCTCCCAGGACCCTGCATTCACTATATCCGGTCTTCCAGGACCCTGCATTCACTATATCTGATCTCCCAGGACCCTGCATTCACTATATCTGATCTCCCAGACCCTGCATTCACTATATCTGGTCTCCCCGGACCCTGCATTCACTATTTCTGGTCTCCCCGGACCCTGCATTCACTATTTCTGGTCTCCCCGGACCCTGCATTCACTATTTCTGGTATCCCCGGACGCTGCATTCACTATAGATGATCTCCCAGGACCCCGCATTCACTATATCCGGTCTCCCAGGACCCTGCATTCACTATATCTGATCTCCCAGGATCCCGCATTCACTATATCTGATCTCCCAGACTCTGCATTCACTATATCTGGTCTCCCCGGACCCTGAATTCACTATATCTGGTCTCCCTGGACCCTGCATTCACTATATCTGGTCTCCCAGGACCCCGCAATCACTATAGATGATCTCCCAGGACCCTGCATTCACTATATCTGGTCTCCCAGGACCCCTCATTCACTATATCTGATCTGCCAGGACCCCACATTCACTATATCTGGTCTCCCACAGTACACAGAACATGGAAATGCAATTATTTTAGCAAATATAAACTGCTAAATACCTCTCATGATCATCATTTCGTCCTGTGACTTCTATCAGTGTCCAGCCGAGCACTGGTTAAAGCTTGTAGGAGGAGTTTTCATTCTGTTCTCACTGTTCTGCGAGGCTACATGACCCCTGACCCTCTGTTTGGACAGCTCTGATTGGCCCTGTGCTGATCACATGCACCACCCCCCCTAAAAAAAAAAAAAAAAAACTCTCCAGCAATGCACACCAACTGAGCATGGGCAGAGTGTCTCCTAGGGCTCTCTACTATCAGCAGAGGGATTGGGGACTGTGGAAGAAGGGGAGGATCAGAGAAGACAGGATCAAACAGCTTTTTTACATAATGCAGAAGATTAACCCCTTATATTCCACAGTGAGTATAACAAGCATTACATATACAGACTGATTTTACTGCCGTGGGTTTAGTAACACCTTAAGTACATGCGATATTTCAGTTTTTTTCTTTTTAATAAATTCACAAACATTTCTAAAATTCTGTTTCACTTAGTCATTACTGAGTGTAGATTAATGACAAAAAAAATAAATTTAAACAACTGTATCAGACTACAACATAAAAACATTGAAAAAAGTGGCAGGGGTCTGAATACTTTATGAATTCATTGTATATCGACAAAACTTTCAGTTTTGTATAGGGCAGGTAAAAGATAAAAACCTTGTCGGGGTTTTTTTATCTGTCTTTGTCCTGTTGGGGAGATTTCCTTTCATTTCCACTCCTGGAGATGCAACAGGATGTGAAAGAAAAAATTACCCACATTTTTGTTTTTAGACCTAGTGACATCACGACTGGGTCTCTGTGCTTCTATATTAAATGCAGGCTGGCTGGTGTGAGGGGCTGTACATAGCTTCCTAAAAATATTACAGCACCCCCTCAAGAGCCCTCACCCCTAAATCAGGCAGTGGGCTGGCTCTTGGGAGGAGTTATGCAAATCTTGCTGTCAGTGTGGAGGAGAGGGCATTTCTAGGCAGACTTCATTTTCCTGGAAAACGTGGACATTTTGGGTGCTATACCTACGGTAGAGATCACTTACAGCATTCCCTCGGCACACTCCTTCTGCCCTACGGAGGACTCGTGAGCAAAACAGGCCAAGCGGCAAAGACCGAGGAAACTATCACATCCCCAGATCGCGGGAGAGGCGCCATCACCTGGGGAGAGGAAAAGAGACAACCTTGAATGGCAACCCAACACACCTCTGATCCGCAAATGGCACACCATGACATGCAGCGACGTACTACCATGCATTGTGGTGAGGCATTGGGAAAAAAAATGCTGCATGTTCATTGTATTGTTCTGTTCTGGTGCGATGATGGAACACATGTTAATGTCTGATGGACAAGGAAATCGAAAGGGATTTTTTTTTTCCATGAAAAAATTTCAGACTGGTGAGAATTGAGCCCCCAGAAGCCTGGGGCTGTAGAATGAACATGACTACTTAGCTTCTACACGGCTCAAAGAATGAAAGGAACACTTTAGAAACCCATCAGATCTCAATGGGGAAGAATCTCCTGCTGGATCTCTATACTGATATGGACGGGGGTAATGTGTTAGGAACGTAAGGATTCCTCATCGTTTGATCGAAATGAAAATGATCGACCTACAGAGGACTGAATTCAAAGACACCCCGAAAATCAAAGTGAAAAGATGATGCAGCAGGCGAGTCCATTTTGATGAACTTTCATTGCAGCAACTCAGAATGGTCCTCAGTAGTTTGTATGGCCTCCACGTGCTTGTATGCATGCCTGACAACGTCGGGGGAGGCTCCTAATGAAATCCTGGGATATTTCCTCCCAGATCTGGACCAGGGCATCACTGAGCTCCTGGACAGTCTGAGGTGCAACTTGATGGCGTTGGTTGGACCAAAACATGATATCCCAGAGGTGTTCTATTGGATTTAGGTCAGGCGAATGTGGGGGCCATTCAATGGTATCAATTCCTTCATCCTCCAGGAACTGCCTGCATACTCTCCCCACAAGAGGCCGGGCATTGTTGTGCACCAGGAGGAACCCAGGACCCACTGCACCAGTGTAGGGTCTGACAATGGGTCCAAGGATTTCATCCCGATACCTAATGGCAGTCAGGGCGCCATTGTCTAGTCTGTAGAGGTCTGTGTGTCCCTCCATGGATATGCCTCCCCAGACCATCGCTGACCCACCACCAAAACGGTGATGCTGAACGATGTTACAGGCAGCATAATGTTCCCCACGGCTTCTCCAGACCCTTTCATGTCTGTCACATGTGCTCAGGGTGAACCTGCTCTCATCTCTAAATAGCACAGGGCACCAGTGGTGGACCTGCCAATTCTGGGGTTCAGAGGCAAATGCCAATCGAGCTCCATGGTACCGGCCAGTGAGCACAGGGCCCACTAGAGGACATCGGGCCCTCAGGCCACCCTCATGAAGTCTGTTTCAGATTTTTTGGTCAGACACATTCACACCAGTGGCCTGCTGGAGGTCATTTTGTAGGGCTCTGGCAGTGCTAGCCCTGTTCCTCCTTGCACAAAGGAGCAGATACCGGTCCTGCTGATGGGTTAAGGACCTTCTATGGCCCTGTCCAGCT